AGTTTTTCTAAATTTGTCATTCGATAGAGAAGTGGTAAAATTAATTGATTGTAAGATGATGTTTTCAACAAACAAGACAAAACAAAATATTTGAGATTTGGAATTTTTCTCTAGAGAAACAAAAGTAAAAACAAAGTCAAATTTATTTTCTTTTAAAACTAACTTGATTTTCAATTTCTTCTGATGGAGGTAAAATATTAGCCAATTCAATATGAAGTGTATGAAGTTGTTCGAAACGACCATCAAGAATATAAAGACATACCCGAAAAGTTTGAACCTTGATATTTAATATCAAAAGAGATGAAGAAGAAAAAGTAGGAGATCGATTCTTAAATAATAATCTAGCATTATTTTTATATGATGCATAGCAAAATATTAAATGAGTTAAATTAATAAATACAGTAAAGATCTGATTGCATATGTTTTCCATTATCGACCAGTCTTTTTTATCTGGATCAATAGGAATAATAAGTGTTGTTATTTGATTATTAAAAATAGAAGATATAAGTCTCTCGTCTAAATACATAAAAACATATTAAACAATTTAATCTATTTTACATATATTGATTATAATCAAAGACCAAAACTTTGACAGAAAAAGAATTTTTCTTTCTGACATTATCTTTTTTTTTCTACCTCAATTATCTTTTTTATATATAATCCATAATAAATTTCTTAAAAATAATGATAATTATTTTTTACTGGTTAAAAATATTTTCTGTTTTATTTTTCTCTATATATAAATTTGTATAAACGATTCTTTTTTTTTCTTTTATGATTTGATAGTTAAACATAAATTAGAAATGAAATTTATTTAATATATTCATCTATATTAATAATTTCGAAATATGTATGTTTTTTCTCTGTTTAGAATTAAAATAATTCTATTGTGATTTCCTTACCAGTAAAAAGATATTTAGCTGTCTCTTCTTCAATATTATATAAACCGAGTCCATATAAATTAGGATAATCGACGACATGTAGAATATTTTTCATAAATGATGATTCAAGATCTAGCCATTTAATTTTCATATGAATTTCAGGTAAAATCTTTGAACAAAATTGATCAATTATCATATGAGAAGAAAATTTATTGATAAATTTATTGGGTAACTATTTGAGAAAGTTTAAACAACTTATAAATATTGGATCATGTATAATTTTATTAAATCGTTCATTAACTTCTTGAAAAGAATACAGTACTTCAAGATTGTCAAGGTTTTTTTTTATACAATCAAAAGAATTTCATCAGGTAAATCATTCAATTTGCTACATAAATTTTTCATATTTATGTTCATTTATTTTTTTATTCAACTATAGAGAAGTCAATAGCTATCTATCTATCTATATATATATCTGCCCGTTTATTCTGTTTGATCGATGTCGTCAACAAGAACAATAATAATACATTTTTCAATAGTCTAAATTGTTCATAATCTAATGAATTTATGATTAGAAGAATGTTATTATTATTCGTTTATCTTTTGTTTAATATGACATATAATAAATATGAATAGTTCTGAAGAGATATTTAGTGTACGATGATCATTTCTTCGTTTTCTTTCTGGGTGTGGGGTGTGGGTGTGGGTGTGGGTGTGGGCCCTGTTCTTCTACTCATCAACAGCCACAGCCACACCCACAGCCACACCCACAGCCACAGCTACACTCACACCCACACCCACACCCCAATCGAACTTTGAGCAAGTCATATGATGATTGTATCGATAACTTCGACTGCTGGTTGGTATGCAGTTGTTTGAATGATGTCGGAATTCATATAGCATTAAGGATTAACTATACAGGCTTAAAAACGGACAGCTAAGCAATTTGTGAACAACAATGGTTTCTTCGCTGTGACGGTTACTGTGATTGAATTCAAGCTTGATGATGCATCATAATGATTTTGAATTAAAGCAACAAAAGAAGAATGTTTCAGCGAAGAGTACAGAAAGAAAACTGTTCGGAAAACATGTCGAAAAAAGTAATAACTTTAATAATAAAGGAAAATTATTATTGTATTTGATCAGGCTATGTCTAATACTGAGAGAAACCATATTTTGTAAACGACTCCATGCACTGTAATGGAAATTCATAATATAAAAGTAAACCTCATCAATACTGGTTTTTGCTTCATGAGACTACGATAATGCTAATAATGAATGAAAGTTGCTTCTTTAGCCGGAGAACAATATAACTATATCCTTCTAGTGAAATCGAAATTACTAATAGTAGACGTTAAAAGCCTTTGTAGTGAAATTCAAATTTTGTTATCATGTGATTTCACAATCGATCGCAAGACAAGATGCCGTACGCTTCTCACCCATTGAAAAAATTGCTTATTACAACTTACTATGAGGTAATCGATCAAATCTGATCAAATACCTGTTACAATGACGAAAACATGCGGGTTGATAAAAACACTAACTTCCTAGAGCAACATTTTTTTTGAAAGTATGAAACAAAAATAATATATTCTATCACTGATTTAAAACACTCTATTCTTGGTGGATATACAATGTATGCTTGAAGTTTCGATCACAGAAAACGATGACCGAAATCCTTGAAGTTTATCTTGTATTAAAAGGCAACTCTTCATGAATATCATGAGTTGTTGAATTAATTAGCTGTCATGTAATCTTGATAAAGAGTTATACACCGGGAAAAAGGATAATTCATTTTTCAAATGGATAAAGATTCAAATACACGCTTTCAGGGAACACACATTAGGGCCAGCCATACTAGCTGAGCAATGTGAGAAAGTACTAACAATCTACATAAATATTCATCTTATTTTTAATCTCTATTCATCGGTTGGTGAGTGTGCGGTAGTATGTGCGGACATGTGCATATAACTTTTTTCTTCCTCTCTTCATCATGCTTACATATTGTTCCCCAAGGTCAGTCTCTTTTTTTTTTCTTTCTTCCTTCATCACATTTAAAATTTTAATATTCTATGCTAATGGACTACTTTTCTTTTTTCTTTTCCCAATCAGATTTTAGATACATGACATTACTGATTTGATTAGTTATTCATCTAAATTTTAAGGAAACACACATATTGTCACCCTTCTTTTCCGATCTTCTCTCCCTGTATTTTCTTCTTTCTTTTTCTTCTTGTATCGATAAAGCTGTTTTTCATTAAATAAGATGTGTTTTTCTAACTAATCGTCAGTGACAATGCTAGTGTTGCAGAATTTCAAAGCATATTCAGCTGTGTATATCTTGTTTTCTTCTACGACAAGGATGAAACAGTGTTTTATGCAATGTAAGAAACTTTTTTTCTTTGCTTGATAAAAACGTTGCTCTGGCACGTTAGTGTTGTCACCAACCCGCACATTTTCGTCATCGCAACGTGTATTTGATCAGATTTCTTTTTATTTGCTCTTTAATAATATGATATTTATGTTTTTTATTATGGCAATTACAAAAATACAGAGTGAACCATACAGAAGACAAAAACAAAAAACAAATGATAATAATATTCGCAAATAAAAATGATTGAGATCTTTTTTTTTAACCAAATATATCTAGTTCACTCATATCATCATCATCATCAAATTCTTGTTCAGCGACTTTTTTCGGTTCTTCTTCAGCTAGTATTTTACCACCATTTGATGCTGCAGCGGCAAATTGTGACGGATCTTTTAAAAATTCTTTTAATGTTTTAGCTTGTTCAAATTCAACATCAGTATCAACAGCTAATGCAAGTAAACGTTTAAATCCACCAAGAATAAGATGTGGTGCTGATACTTGATTTGGATAATTTATACCAAGTGAAAAAGCTGCTAAATGTTGAATACCTTGTGAAATTTTCTCACTTAAATCAGGTATTGGCGGTTTAATAATTGAGCCTGAATAATAAATTACACGAATAATAAGACCATAACTAAAAGGCAAAATGTTCAACATGTTAAGTAACGCTGCTTCACTAGCACCAACTTTATCACCAGCTTTAATTAAATGAACATCATTAATGATTTCAATTGTACCACGTGTAATTTTTGTTGGTATTTGAAGTGCTTGACAAAAACTTGTTCTTTCTGGTCCTAAATTTGTTACTTGAGCCCGAATAGTGACATCAACGGGGGCAATAGCACCAGCACGAGCTGGGACACTAACCTTATTTTCCAAAAGCTTCTTACTAATTGTACTTAAATCTTCTTTAGTAAAAACAAAACCAACATTTTCATAAACATGTGGTAATAATTTTTCTAAATTAGCATTTTTTGACACCTGTCCATGAATTGTTTTACGTATCATTGTATTTTTTCCCATCACAATAACAGCATGACCACGAAGAGATACACGAATTTTTTGCATTTGACGTGAACCAACATTATCAGCACCGACCACAAATAATGTTGGGTATTCAGCCAAATACTGGGTTAAACGCATTGTATATTTGGCTTTCCACGTTGAATGATCTTTTTTCACCATTTTTCTTTTAAAAATAAATTTACCAGATGTTTTAGTCTTTTGATCAGTTGTAATAAACAACTTGTTCACAGAGTCGGTTGTGCACGACATTTTATATAGAAAGTATACGCCATGCTAGTTATGATATTGTTTATCTTTTTTATTACACGTATAACCATGTTATCAGTATAAATCATACATAATACTGCATATATCTTACATAATTCTGAATAAGTTGATATTTCGAAATAATTATGAAATTCTAACAAATTGTTAGGAAGCATGGAAAATCTCATTCAGAAACTTTGGAAATTGTCATTTTCTGTTTCATCCTTCGAAAAGACTTATATGTAATTACGTAAGAACATCGTAAAGGTAATTACGCAACAAAATGGCCCAAGCAATTATGCAAGATGATCATGGTTATTGCATCTCAATATTTCAGATGATTGCGCAACATCGCACATATAAATAGATCCGTTTTATATGTTAAAAATAGTCTTCTTTCTTCATAAATAAACTATTAATAGTTACGTTTAAAAAACTACTACATAACACAAATACTTTTGTATTAAATATAAAAAGAATGTGAAATGCAGAGATGGGCAAGTCAGACTTGACTTGACTTGTCCATCTCTAATTTGAAATTAGGATAAAAATTAGAGTGCATGAAAATCCTCTATATATCTGCTTTCCCGAGTCACACTTTTTTTGTTATGCGCTTGAACTTCTTGAGACTCTTGAGCAAGAAAGTCATGTGCTATGGAAACATCTTGAGGCCTTTCCGTGAACTCAAGTTCTTGAACTTCTTGTTGCTCATGTGCTTAAAATTCTAGCTTATTCACTCAGATTCTTATCCGTGAGTTTTTATTGTTAAAGAACTTTTTTAGTTTTTATTCAATTGTAAGCTCAAATCAGCTCAACTTTTAATAAAAATTCATAGTTTCATTTTCTTGAATCGAACGCATGAGTTTCTCGTAACTCATGCAAACATTCAAGTACTTGTCTTGAGCAAGAAAGTCATGCGCTATGGACAAATACTGAGGTCTGCGCATGACAAACACGTAAAAAAAAGTTCGACTCAGGTTTTGACTTGACTTACCCATCTCTGGTGAAATGTGTAAAGGCAAAGCGAATTTCGAAAACTTCTATTTTCCTATTTCGTCATCGCTTTGCGGCTTTCAAGCTAAGATCAAAGTGTAGTATCTGTTCTCGTTGGTTTGAAAACCGGCAGACTTCGGTCTCTAATTTCAAACGAATTTTTCTGCAATGGATCATTTCGATATTGCAATGCTATGGAGTTTGGTTCACTGTGTTTGCCGTCGAGAAAAATGAATCTAATTAGGATTTCAAATTAAAATGGAAGTATATTAAAGAAGATATTTTTCTACCTTAGAAATTTTTAGAAAAGAGAATTTCTAGTGTTAGCATACTAATCGTATTTTGATAAAATTATTTTAGAATCTACGTATGACAACCTTATGACCAGCTCGCATATTTTCATTTTCACAAGATATTTTTTTTTTGTTCATTAGAGAATATTTTATTGACCTATCAAATGTTTTATTTATTAGAGTATATAATATCAGGATTTATAATATACAAAAAAAATTAAAATATATTGTTTATTATTTAATCGACTTCTTCAATGGTTGGACCTTTTCCATTTGAGTGAGATACATGTTCACCATTTGGCATAGAATTATTTTCACTACTATAAAGTTTTGTTATGATTGGTGAACAAATTTCTTCGATTTCTTTTTGTTTATGTTCAATTTCATCTTTTGTAGCTAATTGATTCTTTTCTATCCAGTGTAATGTTGAATTAATTATTTCATTTATTTTTGTTTTATCATCAGATGAAAGTTTTGAAGAAATTTTATCATCATTAATAGTTTTTTCCATATTAAAACAATATTATTCAAGTGAATTTTTTGCTGATATGCGTTCACGTTGAATTTCATCTTCTTTTTCATATATTTTAGCATCATGAATCATTTTTTCAATATCTTCTTGTGATAACCGACCATTATCATTTTTAATTGTTATTTTCTTTTCTTGACCAGTTGATTTTTCAATAGCTGAAACATTTAATATTCCATTTGCATCAATATCAAATGTAACTTCAATTTTTGGTATACCACGTGGTGCTGGAGGAATTTTCGTAAGTTCAAAATTTCCAAGTAAATTATTATCTTTTGTCATTGCACGTTCACCTTCAAATACTTTTATATCAACACCAGATTGATTATGTGAATATGTTGAAAATGTTTGTGTGTGTCGTGCTGGAATATTTGTACTACGTTTAATTAATGTCGTCATAACACCACCAGCTGTTTCAATTCCAAGTGAAAGTGGTGTAATATCAATTAAAAGTACTTCTTTAAGATCATCTGATTTATCATCAGTTAAAATAGCTGCTTGTACAGCTGCACCATATGCAACAGCTGCATTTGGATTAATTGGTTTATTTAATTCTTTACCATTAAAGAAATCATGAAGTAATTTTTGTACTTTTGGAATACGTGTTAAACCACCAACAAGTACAATTTCATGAATATTTGATTTGTCCATTTTTGCATCACGTAAAGCTTTTTCAACTGGTTCAAGAGTTGAACGAAATAAATCAGCAAATAATTCTTCAAAACAAGCACGTGTTAATGTTGAAAAAAAATCTATACCTTCATAAAGTGAATCAATTTCAATTGATGCTTGAGATGAGGATGATAATGTACGTTTTGCTCGTTCACATGAAATCTTTGACTTTTATTATCATAACACATCAATTTTGTGATTTTGATGTATAGGGTGTCCAGAAAGTCACTAGAGTTGGAGAAAAAATTTGAATATTTTCATGACTCTTCAACCAAATGAATTGAATTTTTTTCGGAAGGTAGAGGACAGGTAGCAGTTTTTATTCATGACGGAAAAGGTCATTTATGGGGATGAACTCAGCACACTTTTCTTCGCTGTATAAATAAGCTACGCACAAACATTTGTTGTTCATAGCTATAATGCAATACTGTACGATAAGCTTTTCTTTATTTATCAAGAAACATAGTTGACATGTAATGCGATACTATTAGTATGAAAGAAATTGTCGTTCGTTGTTGAAGCAGTCACGAAAACGTTGCAAAAACAGAGCGACATGCTTTGCGACACATTTCTTCTGGTATCTCTTCACAAACTTGTTCAATTCTTTCTTGAAGTTCTGTAATGTTAGCGAGTGGCTCTTTAAACACAATGTTCTTCAAATAGCCCCACAGAAAGAAGTCACATGGACTTAGATCTGGTGAACGAGCTGGCCAGTCGAATGAACCGCGTCTACCTATCTACCGATCTGGGAATTTCTTATCCAGCCATTCTTGAACAATAACAGCATAATGAGCTCCTGCTCCATCACGTTGAAAGTAAAAATTTTTGTTTTTCAACCGAGGCCATGAATAATTAACCAGCATTTCTTTGTACGATGGACCCGTAATGATATCATTGAAAAAATATGGACCAACGGGCCCATTAGAACTTATTCCGCACCAAACCATGACCCCCTTGCTGCGTATTTGGCACTTCAAATTTGAAGTGTGAATATTCTCTGGCCCAGTAAGTGCAATTATGTCGATTGACGCTTGTATTCATATTAAATATGGCTTCATCACTCCAGAATATGCTGTCGATGAGATCGGGGGCTCACTCTCAAAAGAGATACAATTTTTGTTTAGTACAAATGACTTTGAAAAGTTGCTGCTATTTAAAGTATTTATAGCTATTTAAGCACCTGCATAGCTATTTAAGATTTACATAGCTATTTAAGTATTTGCATAGCTATTTAAGATTTGCATAGCTATTTAAGATTTATATAGCTATTTAAGTATTTGAATAGCTATTTAAGTTTTCTATAGCTATTTAAGTTTTCCATAGCTATTTAAGATTTGCATAGCTATTTAAGATTTATATAGCCATTTAAGTATTTGAATAGCTATTTAAGTTTTCCATAGCTATTTAAGATTTGTATAGCTATTTAAGTTTTCTATAGCTTTTTAATTACTCGCATAGCTTTTTAAGTATTTAAATAGTTATTGAAGTAGTGGCATAAGTATTCAAATCTTACACAGCTATTCAAACAGTCGCGTGAGTACTTTTGCGCTTCATAGGTACTTAAATCTTCTATTGCCATTAAAGTATTTCTATGGTGCCTATTTTATATTAGGTACTCGTAAACGTCAGCAGGAATAGCTTTTTAAGTCGTAACATTATTTGGTGATTGGTAGTAAAAGTCTATATATTGGTATTGCGGTTTAACTGACAATGATTGATTTTTTCAACGGTACTTATTGTTTCGAGCAAGGGTGCGGGGGGGGGGGGGGGGGGGAGGGGGGAAAACGGGTTGAAGGGCGGGTGAATGCGGGTTTCGGGCCCCCCCCCCCCCCCCCCCCCCCCCCCCACCCCCCACATCCATGCCCATGGCTACCCACCCTACCTTTCTGTATAAATATAATTATTGTTCATCGACCAGGAACTAGTGTTACATGAACTTCAATGATTAATTATGTTCCAGAAAGTTCTCAAAGTGAAAATTTGGCATCATTAGTGATCGGTTATGGAAGGGTGTGTGGGTGTGGGTGTGGGTGTGGGTGTGGGGTGTGG